GCCCTGAATAAATCATAAAAGCAAAAATCGTGACATCCTGCCACACAAACGTTTATTTGCAGTGTTTTGCACCACACACCATCTAGCATTTGGAAAAATGGATAAAAATAATAATAATAGAATGGATAAGTGTCAAAAGCAGCAATTCTCGTCAGCAGCAAAGGAGTTCTCGTATGAAGTTGGGATTGCTGTGTCATATATCACCGTACGGAAGAATATGGCACGAAAACACTCCCCCTGTGATGGAGTCGACTTGATGCAACGTTTATTGAAGGCGAACTGTTGATGCATAAGTTGGCTGCCTTTTATACGGGGGACAAACCAAATGAATTTTGTGGAAGTCAAAATAAAACTTTCAATTAAGAATCACTCAGAAGGTCATGACTCACTAGAAAATCAACATTGAAGGAAATGTTGTAGACAATATTAAAAATGATTAAGCACAAAACTATTTCAGAACTTTTCCCTTTTCATAACACCTCCTCCCCCCTGAGAAAATACCTCGATTTCCATTTATTTTCCATTATGAGCTGCTAGTACTTTTACTCTTGTTCAGCGCCAAATTATCATGTAAAAATAAAAAGACTTTTCCTCAGAGTTGCTTCCTATCATGTTACTTTGAGATTTAGCGAAGTCTCTGCTCAATTCTACGAAAATTCTCAAAAAGATGAATTTCAAGAATTTTAAGATTTTCAAAGACTTCGAACCAGGAGGATTGAAAATTCAGATAAATGGCACTATCATTCCTTGTCTTTTTAATTGGGACTTTTATTTTCAGATGCATCCACAGCCTGTCGTTCACATTATGTCGTCTGAAGTTCACCGAAGAACAATTATTGTCGTTACTCACACGAACCTCCTGTAATGCGCTCACACTCGATTTCTGCCATTTTGAACACGACATAATCAGTGATAAGGTTAGTGGACTTCAGTTGAGTAATCATCGTGTATAATATTGAAGAAAATAGAAAGCTCAGCGCTAATCAGTCCAAAGAGATATGTCGTGATGCATCCGCCTCCGCTGTGGATTGAAGGTGCACCTCGTTAGGATTAAGTGCCCCCGCAATGATATTTTCATCCTTAGGACGATTCAACAGCAGTTGCCTCCTTTCGTATCGAACAAGTACTTACTTAGCGTGGGTTGGCCTCGATCCTACGAGCTGTCTGATCACGATATGGCACATTTTCCCATTGCGCCACCTCTACTATTCCCTTTAGCATCGAGCAGAGAAAGAAATCGCAAGTTGTCAGAAAAGTGTAAGAAGATAGGTGAGGAGAGAATCATGAACTAAACTCAATGGAATAAGAACATGTCGAATGTGCCATGCAATAGTTCCTTTCCCATAAATGGGAAAGTGGTGGGAAGCTTATGATTCACTCAGCACAGAGGCTCTTTATAACTCCGCTCCAATAGATTCAGGACGCTTTTTCAGGAGAAATCAACGCATGCGCATGGTTATACCATCCAACTCCCACCATAATTATACTCGGAAACCCTCTAAAATGCGCTACGCAATTTTCTTTCACGATTTTCTATCAGACAAGAAAGACCTCCAGCGGAAGCGCTTTAACTTTCACCCTGTGGCGTTAAGCGTGCATCCGGCTGAGGCACTTCAGAATAGTGAAAGCTGGAGGGCTGGACGATGTGCTCACAAACCGTCACAATCTCGTATTCGGCTTTTCATTAAGACGAGAGTGGTCTCACTTGAGCCATCTGGTCACGTCGGAACCGTGTAAACAACCAAGGATCCGCTTCAAAGGGATTTGTCTATCCAAGGGTTCATTTGGATAGTTTTGGGTTCTATTATTGTATCAAAACTATTCCAAGCCTGTCAAATATTTCCAGCGTGAATCCGAACGAAACGGTCAGGCATTTGCACTCTGTACTCCGCAACATTACCCCCTCATATTGACCCAGCGTTTTGATCGCATCGGCAGAATATCACCCCGAACAAGTGGAGGGTATCTGCTGTCACCAGGTGTGGAGATCGGCATGTCATCGATCATCATTTCATTTCATGTCGCGGAAGGCCAGTGATGGGTCTTCTGATCGCTGGCTGTCCAGAGGCCTTGGCCTGTCAGCTACCGAAAACACATCACAGATGTGCGCGGCCGCAGGACAGACTGTCACACGTGTGTGGCATGCGCGAGACAGCCAGCCAGCCAGCCAGCTCTTCACCTTTACCTGGCTGTCATTCAAGGAGGACATCATACAGTGGGCGTTTTGAAAACTTTGGCATCAACAGTGGTGCGAAAACTTTGAAATCTGAGGGGATGCGCACGGATCTGCCGATATTTACGCACAGATGTACGCTGATCGTGAACGCTTACGAAGTAACAGACTCGTACATGTCTAGTGGAAATCTTCTACGAAAACTTCACAACCCGCTTTTTCAGGTAGCGATATTATGGTGCGTTTCCGTCCTACCGCGGATTAAGGCACATTCCATGTGCAGCGACTTGTGGTAGCTGTCGTGGGCATGTATTCAGATGAAACGGGGTTGCCGGGTAGAACAAAAAGTATTCCTGTCCTAGGCGAAATGAGCTGCAAGCTTGATCCGTGACTGGGATAGAATGCTTCACCACGCCGCGCGACAGTTTATACGACATCGCGCTGCTGCGTCAAAACCAGCACCTGACAGAAAAGACGCTTCGAGAGCTAACACTGGCCTAATTTCAAATAAATGTCCATAAAAGATTTTCGTGAAACTAGACAGTTCCTATAAAAGGGATCTTGAATTATGAGAGAAATACTGCGCAGATTTCCGGTCGTCTTGATATTCAATTGCCGCTCTCACAACGGATATAGAAGAACTTTTACGAAATATTTTTATGATACAATACTGTTTTCTGAACTATTTTTTCATAAGGGAACTCTAAAATTCGCATTTTTCCTCTCTGAGTAGCAAATTTAAGCAGCGATGATTCTCGTAACCTACAGAATCTATTTTCAGGTGATTGCTGCCATTCCGCAACTGCGTACCCTTCGCGTTCAACCGAGATCAAGTGTGTTTCTTCGCCAGCTAACGAACGTCACTGCACGAAATTGGGCGTCTTCACCACCGACGACCATAGCGCTCTACAACTGCGCCACGAATATCGCTCTGCATGGGATTTGCGATCTCATCAAAGTGAGTTCAACACCTTTCCGCCCACAAAGCATATTGACTTATTCTAGATTCACAAAGTGATTACTGAAGTGGCTCCAATATGGGTTTAGCATTCTGAGAAAGCTGACACCTCATGGATAATCCGAAATTAGAGTCCCCCGTTACAAAAGTAGAAGGGTTAAGCTGACGGCCACATAATCCTGGCAGAGCGTTTCCCAGCGGGGCTCGGGGAGCTGAGTTGACAAAAAGGGTTACTGAGCCAGCTTTCTCACAAAAAAAGCCAAACTCAACAAACTAAATTACATAAATGGTTTAAAAAAAGGCAGCGCGCTTACGTGACGGTTGCAATTAGGGTAGGACGTCACTCCCTCTTCGGTCCAAGTCCTGGTGACTTTCCAGCACACTATGGAGTCGTAGTGCTCTGAAATCGTGATTCGCTGGAAAACTCGGGGCATAAGTTTTAAGCAGTTGCAGGAGGTGGCATAGTGAAAGTGGCAGCGCTTCTCCGGCGCAAGGCCTGAGGGTTCCAACCTGGATCGAATCTCGCCCAGACCAGCATGCAACAAGCCATCTCAGGAAAAGTGCTACATCTCCCGAACGATTTCTTTTGTATGGTCCTTTTCTGGGAATACTTCTTGGATCGAACTTTTTCGAGAGCGGATGGCCATCCAATCGGTCGCCGCTAGAAATGAAGGTGATAAAGAAATATTATAGAAGTGGCCAATGGTTTTGCAGTAAAGGAGAGATCAAGGGAAGCGGCCTGAAACCTACGAGATAAGAATCCTTTTTATCCTTTGATTGCGCGCTCACGAATTCCAACTGGATGGTGATCAGTGATGTAAAATTCTTGCCTTGTCCTTTGATACTCCTCAGCCGCAAACGGCCATCCTTCACCAACGTGAAGTAATGGGCTGAGCCGGCCACTTGGAGGCGGAGCTCTCCACGAAGCGCCGTCATGGTGGATAAAGGCCTTACAAGGGCAATACCGGCACACCCTATGCACAGAAAGTGCCACGTCATAGTCCTTTATAGAAACATACCTCCTTACAGTACCCTTCCCCTTTTACCTTACAATGTGCCGTACTACCC